TAAATATTCTTATAACATCGAATATTAAAAATTTGTTCAATTTGGTTATCTTTCAAATACAAAAATTTTTCAATTCATATGATAAATTTCATTTTATTTATTGCTTCTATCGCTGTTTCGGGTCAAGCAATAGGCAGATAAACTTTGGCAAGTTTAAATTGGGGTCATTTTGTTGCCCAAACCTCCATATTCGAGGTCAATTTTGCGTCATGACTCTATAATAAGGTTCTTTTCTAGCTAGTGTGTAACCCCAGGATCCCTTAGCTGGAACCCCCACTAACAGTACGACTCGGCCTATACTAATTCATAAAAAATCATTCAACAACTTTTTATTGTAATCCAAACAAACTAATACTCTTTAATACAAAAATTGTACACCAAATCGAGCGAAATAAAATAATTATAAGCTCGAGTGAGTTAGATAATGATATTTCAGTAACATACCGATGACGATTTGACTTGTCAACCAATGACGTAAATAGATTATAAATGGATTTATTGATTCTAATTTATTATTTTTCATTATTTTCATTATCATGGAATTCAATTTTATTAAAATAATCATTTTTTTTAAATTATTTATATATAATATATATAGTCTTAATAATCACCCTTATTTAAAATTTCGAAATCAAATGTTGTTTAGACTAAACCTACATTGGCAATTCAAGTTAATCAGTTCCATCGTCCTCGCATCATATCTCTTCTTGAATTTCGCTGACTTGGTCATACACTCCTCTCTGGCATTCCGCACATAGAAGAACTGATTTCTCCTGCATTTCGCTTACAATCGCAAAGAACCTGCCCATTCCGTTCTCTCAATGGCACTTTTAAAGGAACACCGATGCTTTCCAATTCGTGATCAGCCCTGCTTCCGTTCTTCATTTTTCGCAGAAACGAATAGATTAAAACACTCTTCTCTTGTTCGCCAAGCCTTCATGCCCGTCCGGCCTCTTGTTGCCGCAAGAGGCGCTCCTCACACATCTCCAAAATCGCTGGAACATCTCCCTCTCCATGCAACGATTAATCAGAATATGATGCTATCCCATTTATCACAAGGTCATTTGCCTCCTCCAACCGATCCGTGAAGCCAGGTGTGTCCTTTTACTCTCTCCGGTCCTAATTTCTTCTCTCGTAATCATTGGAAGCCTGCCGGGCCCTTTTTGAAACATCTTGTCGATTCTATCTACAGAACGAAATGATCTCGCTCTATTTGCAATTTATTCGGTCAGAATGAAAGTGGTATTTTACCTTTATTCTTCCTCATAACCCTGTCTCAAGTTTTGTTTTGCTTATTTATTAAAATAAAACTGTCAAAATCAGCGCATTGGTTCATCTTTCTTAAATTAATTGAATAATTTGTAGTTGGTTTCACATCATTGGAAAAGTTGTTAAAATTGTTCGTCATTTTGCTTATATCAAAATTGAGAAGTAGTCGAATGAAGGTATAGATATTAATTTCCTCTTTAAACGGTAGAAGTTTGGATCTATATTTTACTAAAATGTGATTGAAATAAATTAGGAAGCTGGTTTGTTGCTTTAAAAGGTAGAATTTTGTTGGAAAGTTTGTGATGAGAGAAATGAAAGTAAAATTTATATTGGTAGAATAGTGGTTTTTGCTTTAATTGAAAATGAATTATGTGATGTTGTAAAGTTAAGGTATAAGCAGAGTGTGTTTAATAAAGTGTATGCTTATGAAGATAAATAACAGGTTTTTGGTTGCATAAAGTATTGTTGTACGCTTAAGAGTATGTGGTAGTATTTTTTAGAAGGGATGTTGTTGAAAAAGTTACTTGTATGTGCTTTTTGGAAAACCAAATAATGTGTTTGTGAAAGAGAGTGTTGTGACATGTACATGAAGTGTGTATTATTGAGTGGATTGTATGTGTATGTGAATGGTATTAGATAAGAGAGAGAATCAGTTTGTGTTAAAGAGTTAGTTGGAATTTCTGAAGGTGAGTGGTGGAGTTTTGGAGAAGGGTTGTGGATTTTGAGAGAAGGACTTATGAGTGATTTTTTGGAAAGTAAAATTTAATTTGAAGAGATAATAAGTTTCTTTTTTTCTACCCTCTCTCGTTTCATCATTTTTATGCTTTGAAATAATCTAAATAGTGTATAAAAGTGAGGTTTCAAAGGCGTCACAAAGGTGATTCGCCACGACAAGGTTATTTTATGTTTCAAGTAAATTTCAATTATTTTATAATTATTATTAAATGTGCTTTTTACCCTTTTCCCTATTTCTTTACTTTAATTGGCATGATGCCGAGAAGGTACGGAGTGGACAAAGACAGGAGTATGACGTATGTCTACCAAACGGGTAGAGGTGCGGCGGGCGGACCATGGATCGTAGCCCCGGTGCTGTGAGTTTCTAAAATTAGAAAACCTTTAGGCGCCCTTGATGTGGTTAGGGCATGTGAACACTTTTTAGGTCCATGTAGTAATTCAATTTTATTAGGATTATTATTTATTTATTTTAGAGATCGAAATCCTTTTAACACATGCGAAAGGTCCTAAGGGTTAGTAATAAAAAAGTTTTACACTAATGAAGTAGTGACTTAAGGACAAATTAGGATGAGTCTTAAAATAAATGTTAGGGTGCATTGCACTTAGGATAGAAAATACTACGAAACTTAGTGAACTATTTAGGATTAGTAATATTTTTAAATGTACAATTGAAGAATTTAGAAAATATTAGCAAGAATGATGTTAGGATTATATAAACACTTTCTATAACAACTTAGAATTGTTATGTTAGCACAATCGACTTACTTTAGGTTAGGCCAGTGTTTATTATTCCTTATGCACTGTGATGGGTTTTTCTTGGCGTTATTGCATGTTGGTTTAAATTAGTTGGTATGTTGTACTTAATTTTTTATGCATTTGTGATGTGTATTTTGTTTAACGATTAGAATTCCATCGGTAGAGGGATCTGGATTGGTTGAATAACGATTTTCTGCGGTGGCCACACTCATAGAGGTAGGATAAAGGGGCTAATTAATTAATAAATAAATGGCTAATATGGCGCTTCAGTGCTTAGCCCCCAAGAATGAGAAGGAGTGATGGCAAATGTGGCTTATAATTTAAATTTCAATTGTTATTGTTTAAGTACTGCGTGGGACTGATTTTGTTATTTATAATTTGCTTGAGGCTATGATGCGGTGGAGACTATATTTGTTTTCTTTCCTTTATGATTGAAATGAAAGGTATGGTAATATAATTATTAAGAGTCATAATTTGTGAAAGTGATTTTGAAAAAATGGCTGATATTCACATCATTTGGGATCAGAAGAGACCTTAGCCTTAAAGGGTATATCTCTGTTTTATATTCTGGAAAGAGGATAGATTATCATGATTCAATATACATATATAATAATATGAGTAGGAAAGCAAATATTAACTCGTTAGGGATGAGTTTTCACGTTTGGATACCCAAACGCGGGACTTGGAGAAGCTGTAGAAGAAAGGCGAAGAGATAGATGAAGAAGAAGACGACGAAATAAAGATTCAAAGAAATATTCCAGTTAAAAAAATCATTGCGTCATTCTTAGGATTAGAATCCGGGGTTGTGTTTGTATGGTTGCGCCATTACTTTTTTTTGCAAATTCTGGGTGT